ATTTTGAACCAAGCCTTTTCTCCTCAGCCCATAAATTGTGCTACCATGGGGAATTTCTTTCCACAGCAGCAGTTGCTAGCAACAATGTCCAACCTCCAACACTTTGCATACTTGAACACACAAAACCCTGGTATCTGTAATGGTAGTGGAACTAATGAAGGATATTCATCACCCCTTCCTGATATTTTTCGGTCAAAACTTTCCAAATCAAGCTCCTACTTTGCTGATGAACAATTTGAAGAAAGAGGAAACAAGAGCATTTGATTTGACTTCGGTAAGTTTAAGCTCTGGCAGTTGGTATTTAGGTGATTTTTTATCATCTTTTAACTGGGCGGTGTTTGCAATAGGCTTGAGCAGCTTCATGTTTGCTCTCCGACCATTGACATGATCCAAAACCATAAAACACAATATAAAAGTTGGTTATTTAAAAATATCTATTTATTAAGAGCGATGACTACCTTTAATTAAAAAAAATATGATGATTACCTTCAAATAACAGTTTACCAACTTTACATAAGTTGATCCAGCTTCATCGCCTGAAAAACCATAAATGAAGTGATTAATTCAAGTTCAACCATAACATTAAACATGATTTGATCATTGATAAATGACAAATAACCGGAAGACTCTGTATAAAAAACACATAATTATTAGATGAAAATGCAATTTAACTCCACAACAATTAAATAAACAGATAATAATAGTAATCACTACCGAAATCAATGTAATCCCAAGTGTATTCCTCCTAATGTGATACATTTGTCTCAGGCAACTACAGATATCATTCCAATCAATGTAATCACATCGCGATTGCACTGTTAACCAATCAATGGATAACATGATCCTAGCAGAAACATAATTGAAATCGCAGGAAAATCAGAAAAACAAACAATCCTTAGCAAAAATAATAATAATAATAATAATAATTAAGAAAACTTCAATCGCACATTCACTCGGAAAGTAAAGAGATAATAGTATCGAGTTCCAAAATGGCGTAATCCAACCGCAAGAATCATTAGATCTCAAATTCTCACATATCTACACTACGTTTCTTACGCCGAAGTTTTCATAGAGACAAACAAAGAACCGAAGACTCAAAAAGTGAAAGGGACTGATACGAACAGGCTTTGGCGAGCTTGAAGGAGTTGGCAGCCTTATCGAAGAGTCCGGCGGCGTCTTCATATTTGGAGATAAACAAGCCCCAGCCGTTGAGCTTCTTCTCAGCTTTCTTCTCGAAATCCTCCGCTCTGGCCAATTGATCATTCATGGTTTTTCATCGTGATTAGGGTTTTGGTTTTGATAGCTGAAACGGAAACGAAGATCGTTGAGTGAAATGGTTTAGATTTTTTCAGGTTTCTGAATGGTCCAAGGAAAGCTTCTTCCTTTTCTATTAAGAAGGGAAGACAGATTTCTTATTTCCAGGTGCGAAGGTGTTTTCACGACTTTCGTTTCGCCTTTGAAAATTGAGACTAGAAAAGATATCGGGCTAGGGATTTTTAATAACCGATATTGGAAGTGCTTTCACGACTTTCGTTTCGCCTTGGAAGTGCTTCTCTCAAGCAGGGGCTTATTAGTTTCACCCAGGGCCATTCACTTGGAAAGAATGATAATGGAAACTACAAGAGTCCTACCCTCCAAAGGTCTTTGTCCACAGAAACTGAGTACTCAGATAGATATGAACCAGTTGAATTAAGGAATGATGGTCAGGGTAGTTTTGGGATATTCAAAAAATGCAGTCAGTGGACCTTAGAGTGGGATTCAAGAGTATTAAGCAGAGAAACAAGTAATGGGGAATCTGAGTCAAGCTATTCAGAGACCACTAGATTCAGGAGTATTAAACACAAAAACTAGGAATGGGGAATCTGCGTCAAGTAATTCAAAGACCAAAACCCTTGAGAAAGGTTGTTGGAGACCATTGTAACATCTGGTGGTGCATGCCTACAACCCACTGCAGATGCCATTCAAGCTTTCCTTACGAAGGCTGCTAATCTGTTACGTTCCTTTTTTTTTTTTTTCTTGTTTGGTTAAAACCTCATTCTAGTCCCTGTACTTTCAAAAGAATGCCTCTTTTTAGTTCTTATTCTTTAAAAAGCCCCTTTTTGGTCCCAGAGTTTTTTTTTTTTTTACTCCTTTTTAATTTCTCTGTTAAATTTTTGCTAATATGGCATGTTAATTAATGAAAATTACTTGATTTCTTCTTTATATTAATGACATGGAAAATCCATGCAATAAAAAATAATGATGTTGACAAAATTAAAAATCCATATCAACATTTCATATAAATATCTTGGGTTTGCTTGCAAAAAATTAGTTTTTCTTTGCTTAATTTTATGAATTAAAATACGTTTAATTTTAATTACTCATTAATTGACTTTAATTAGACATTTAACAAAGAGGAAAATAAAATCCAAGAATTTCTTCTCTTTTTTTTCCCTCAAGAATCATAACACTTAGATTCCTTATTGCAAATTTAATGATGTGAACTCCCTATTTTAGACTCCATTTAATATAATTACGGTTTTGAGTAGTTGGTTTTGGTTTTCAAAAATTTAGAAACCTTAAAACAAAATTAAGAAATCCTATAAATTAATTAAATTTGAAGTTTTGAGTATTTGTTTTAAAATTTTGTACACAATAATTTAGGAACTTTTATTTTTAGTTGTTAATTTTAATTATTTGAATTTTGAAAACTAAAATCAAAATTGAAAATCACAACTATACTAGACAGAGCCTTAGATATCATCATTATCTTCTTTTATTCTTCAAAATCAACACTCACTACAATATCAATTTTTACAACAAATTAAATTCTTTTGATTCCTCTGCATTCTCTACAAATTTTAGTCTAGAAAATGAATGAAAGCACATTGAAGAAATAGAGACAAATTGAAAGTAAACCCAATCTGGGTCCTCCCTCAACAGGAACAAATTAAAAGGAAATCTAATCTGGGTTTCTCGCTCGGGGACGAGGAACCCAAAACTGGGTTTCTAGCTCAAAGATGAAGAACCTAGATTACATTACTTTTTTGAAGGAGAAAAAAAATTTAGAAAATTATTTCAATAATAGTACTCCGAATTAGTGATAAAAAAATCCAACAACTAAGATTAAGCAAAAATTCTTCCTAAATCCAATTACATCACTAGAAATTGAAACATAAAAAATGAAGAATACCAGAATCAAGCATGAAAAAAATCTCCAGACGTATCAACAAAAAAGAAGGAATTTTGAGGTTGGTGTGGAATTTCTCGCACAACAATGTCCTAGGTTTCTCTAGAGCTCTCTTCCCTAGGAACCCATACCATCATTGAAACCCTCTCAATCTCAAGATCTTGGAATTAATGGAGAATCAGGATTAATGGAGAATCACAATCTAAGTATAGATCAAAGAACCCATTAGTGCCTTCTTTGTGCAAGCTCAGCCTGGGTTCCCTCCTTCTCACAACTTTTGTCCCGCATACAACTTAGTCACCTAAATTTGCACATAAGCCTCACCAATGGGGTTCTACGAAGGTGTTGAGGAAAGATAAAACAATGGAGCAAGAATTGATGTAAAAGAAGAGAAATGAAAAAACTTTGGATTACCACTATACTTAGCCAACCTTAAATTGAGATATTAAAGAATTGGGTACAAAATAATCTACAACAAAGTTTGGAAATTACTTGGAACCTGGTTTTGCAAAAGCAAAGAGGAACAAGCTGGTAGGGGAAAATAGAGTATTGGTGATAGTGAATGTATTGAGGGAAGACAAAAAATGCAGAAAGGGGAAAAGAAGATGAAAGAAGATGAAGGCGAGAGAGATTAGGAGGTTGAAGATGAATTTAAGGTTATTCTTGTAATTTATGATGTTATAATTGATTTTTTTTTTCTTACTTTTCAATTTTAGCACTACTTTTTTTTTATCAAATAAGTACCTTATTTTCCATTTCATCATTTTTAATCCAAATCAACCTTAAAGTTTTTATTTCTTTTCCATGTCAGCATATTAATTTAAATTTGAAGCTAAATTAATGGAGAAATAGTGCCACATCAACATTTTGTTAATAAAAAGACTAAAAAGGGCTAAAAAAAAATTAAAACTTTAAGGATTAAAAAAAGGACTTTTTTGAATACAAGGATAAAAAATGGGCTTCTATCCAAAGTATAGTAAACGAAATAAACCAAAAGGTTTCGTCCTATTTGCAAACCACGTAAGCAATGCATGGTTTCTTTTAAACGTATCAGCATATCGTTAGAACTTTCAATAAGCTACATCAGCATTGCCATATACTAAATAAACAAAAAACTCGCAAGGTTGGTGTCCTTATTTTTAAAAAAATTACAAGTTGATAACTTTATTTAAAAACCAAAAGAAGTTTGTATCCTTAAGTAGGAAAAACAGCAAAGTTGGTATTCTTACCCACCCCTTACTCCAACTTATCATCTTCTCCACTGCAAGTCAGGAAGTTTCCTTCCCTAGGTTTTCCTAGAATTCTTTACTTATTTCTCTTAATTATCCACTTGTATCATCCCATAGGGTAAGTTTTCTATAAATTAAGTTGGTTTAAGTACCATTTTGGTCCCTCAACTTTTCACTTTGGTACCAAAATTGTCCCTCAGCTTTAAAAAGTACCAAAATTATCCTCAGACTTTCATTTTTGGTACCAAAATGGTCCTTCCGTCAGTTAAATGACAGGTGGCAGGTTAGAATGCCAGCAAATCAATTCTTTTTTTACTTGATTAATGACATGGAAAAAAAAAACACAGTTGGCCATCTTTTCTTACGAGGTGGCATTTTTATTTAATTTAAAAATAATGATTTTTTTTTTTTCATCCACGTCAGAAAAAAAAATATTTTCTTCCTCTCCAGATTTGGGATTTTCCCAAATCTGGGTTTGTCTCAAGAACTTCAACTCGAAAGCAACGTTTGTTGTCCTCTCCTCTTCCCTTATGTACACAAACCAAATGTTCTTCTCTTCGGTTACAATGTTCATAAAAGAGTTTCCGTTTCTACCAATTCCTTTTGTCTTTCGTTTTACGCGTCCCTGCGACGCTAACCCTAGACGATGAAGTTCGTTCTACACCGATCAACAACTCTGCTATTTTTCGATGTCCAAGGAGCCAAGTCACTGTTCTTAGTTTCCCCAAGATCTTGAACTCTCCTGATCTGTAAATCTTTCACCTATCTTTGGTAACAATTTTGAGAAAAACCCAGATCTGGGTTTTTCTCAAACCCAGATCTGGGTTTTATCACAGACGTTCCCAATGTTGCTTTGCCTCTGCTTTATTGTCACTTTCTTTATCATCCATTTGGTTCTTGATTCCTTTTGGCAGGTTGTAGGATTAGGCTTTCGATAACCAATTCCAGTTGTTTGATACAACAAGCTCAGATGGAACTTCGGTGGTGTCGTCGAAGAGTTCTATGCTCGATTCACTTCTTTGCTAGAGTTTTCTCAAACTTCTGGTGATCTTTCCTCATCAACAAATTCCTACTGTACGCCATTGCCTACTTTTATTTGGGTTTGAGAAATTGAAGAGTCTGCTTGATTCACTTCTTTGCTTGAGTCCACGTGATGCAGTGCTCAAAACTGTTATTTTGTGGTTATGTTGTTTGGAATTTGTTGTGGCAGAGATGCTCTTTATAAGGTATTTGGTTTGGATTTTTGTAGATCTACAAATATAAGGTTTGGTTTGGATTTAAACCATGGACTACAATGTGATGCAATGCTCAAAACACATTATTTTTGCAGATCTGGGTTTGAGAAAGGATAAGAAAAAACCTCATGTCGGCGCAGATGAAGAAGATTGCCTCTTTTCTCGCTCATGTCGGCGCCAAAACTTCTTGTGAATAGTGTATTTCTATTTTGAATTTGATCCATTATGAAGTTCAGTGCGCATTTAGATCTGGCAACTCTTAGGTATAGAAATTCTGTTTGGCTGCTAGGAAAGTGGTAGGAACTGAGAAAAATTATTATTTGATTCTGGGATTTTTTTGGCCACAATTTTTATTTCCTAAATAGCTCTCTTAAGATCAATCATTTTAGATTTGGTAAATGGGATGATCTTGCAAATATTAATGGTCTGTCTAATCTATTGTTTCCATTGTATCTGGTAAGAATGGATTATGGATTTGATACCTTCAATTGCTTGTTCAATCCTAAAACCCAGATCTGGGTTTAAGAGAGGAAGAAGAAGGGAGAAAAGAGAGAGAGAGAAAGAATACGAAGAAGAAAGAAGAAGGACGAGCAAAGAAAGATAGGTGGAAAGGAGGAAGAAGATGAAGTTTGAGAGAGAACCCAGATCTAGGTTTACAGAGGTAAGGGAAAAGGAAAGGTAATGGAGAGAGAAAGTGAAAGAGGAAAAAGAGATGACGTGGATGGAGAAAAAGGATTACAAAATTTTTAAATTAAATAAAAATGCCACCTTGTAAGAAAAGATGGTCAACTGTGTTTTTTTTTTTCCATGTCATTAATCAAGTAAAAAAAGAATTGATTTGCTGGCATTTTAACGTGCCACCTGTCATTTAACTGACGGAAGGATCATTTTGGTACTAAAAATGAAAGTCTGAGGATAATTTTGGTACTTTTTAAAGTTGAGGGACAATTTTGGTACCAAAGTGAAAAGTTGAGGGATCAAAATGGTACTTAAACCAATTAAGTTCTTTGTTTTCTTCGTCTTTGCAGATAAACATTGATTGCTCCTCAAATCTTCTTGCTCTTTTAATATTTATTTTTAGGTTAGAATCATATATTATGATTTTATTTCTTTAGCAAAACTGAACATCATCACATGCACGAAAAAATAAAGTTTATATTTATTTTTCAATTCTATTTTTTGAAAATTCTTTCTGTTTCTTATGTAATGTGTGTGTGTGTTTTTTTTTCCTTGAAAAATTAAGTTGGGTTTAATTTTGACCTTTTTCCTTTTTTTTTCCCCCTTGAAGCTTTGTGCCCAATGTTGTGTTGAATTTCTTAGTTTTAGTTGCATCTTTAACCTCTCTTTTTTCCTTACTATTAAGCTTGAGAAAATTGGTTTTTTTATTTTTTTATTTTTTTGTAAACTATATCTATGATTATAGCAAAAGATCATCTGGATATCTCAATAATTTTTTTTGGAATGTTTTGGATTTTGTAGGAAAACTTATTGATCAAGGATCAAAGTGCAATGTCTAATAATAGGGAGCTGACTTACACTTCTCGGACCATGGTCTTAGTTGGACGAACAGGCAACGGAAAAAGTGCAACTGGGAACAGTAGCCTTGGACGGAGAGCTTTCATCTCGAAAGCTAGCTCCTCAGGGGTTACGACTTAATGTCAACTTGAAAGAACCGTGTTAAAAGATGGTCAAATTCTTAATGTCATTGACACTCCCGGTATGAACCATTAGACTCGTTTGAGTTGCGAATTCTCGATATTGCATGTGTGACACTTGCTCCCTTAACTATAGAAAAAAAAAAAAAAAAAACTTTGAAAAGCAAAGAAATTATATTATTTATTTGAGTACAAGGGGTACCTTAAACCCATTATAAGGGATCGAGTCTAGTTCAATACATGATCCCACCCAAAATTACATTTACCTTCAATAGGGTAGTTCTACATGTCAATTGCGGGTCCCGTAGCCTTCCTCTTTCTGCCACAGTTAAACGTTAGGCATCCTACTAGGTTATGGATCCAATCTGATAGGGAGAAGAAACAACCTCCCTTTTTTCATTTAATCCAATTGAACGCCCTTAGCTGGACTAATTCCAATAGCCCTCCCTTATCAGCCTCCTTCTTGCTAAATATCTTTTTATTCCTGACTAACCAAATTGTCCAAATCACAGCGAACCAAATACATTCCCAGCCCACCTTCTCCCTAGTCATTTTGAATACATGGGGATGTTGTTCAAACACCCTCCAACAATCTTTATCAAGCACAGTTCTTATACCCCACCACTTAAAATAGTCAACCCACAGAGCAACAGCTAATTTGCAGTGGATGAAAAGATGGCTCCTGTCATCAATCTCCATTCTGCAGAAAGCACACTTGAACTCCTCAAGATCCTTTAGTAATCTCCTTTTTAAGAGATTAAACTTTGAGGTAATTTTATCCTATAATAGTTGCCATGTGAAAACTGAGATCTTGTTAGGGATGAGTGGGTTCTAGACTTTTTGAAGTGTAGAGCTTTGCTGTTCCATTCTACTATCCATTATAAGTGTCTTATATGCTAATTTTGTTGAATAGCCTTCATCTTTGTTGTGAATCCATTCCCACAAATCTATTTTTCCTCTTTTAATTATTATTTCTTGGATTTGCTTCTGCAACTCTTTTCCTGCTGTTTTTCCCAGCTATACAGACTCCTTCTCCATTGCAAATTCCATTTCCAGGTATCATTAATCCACTTTCCCATTTGAGGAATCCCGTTGTCCATCCCTGCAGATATTAGATAAAGTCTTGGGAATTGGTTAGCAAGACTCCCACTCCCACACCAGTTATTCCACCAAAATTTAACTCCCACTCCTTCTCCTACCTTTAGTCTCAACCCCTCGGTTAGCTATCCCTTTTTCTTCATCATCTATTACATTCAACCTACATAAGTCCCTCCACCATCTAGAGCTAAGATTAATGCCCTCCCTCAACCAATTATAGCTTGGTTCCCTTTCCCTTTCGTACTTCTCATAAATAACTGTTTTCCACAACCCTTTATCCTCGAACACTAGTCTCCCCCACCACTTGCCTAACAAAGCCATATTTAACTTCTTAAGATCTTTTACACCCAAACCTCTTCTTGCCTTTTCCTTACACACCTTTCCCTAATTAACCCAATTAATTTTTTTATCCCCCACAATCCTGCCCCACAAGAATCTTCTACGAATTTTATCAAGTGAAAGAATCGTACCTTTTGGAATCAAGTACAATGACATCCAGAACATAGGAAGCTAAACAACAATGAGTTAATGAGGGTGATTCTATCGCCTAGCAATAAGTACCGACCCTTCCATGTTGATAATTTTTTATTGAAAATATCCACCAGTGGCTTCCAGAAGGTAAGCTTCCTACAACATCTCCTATGGGAATTCCCAAGTATTTAAAGGGAAATGAGCCCTTTTTACAGCACAACACCCATGACATTTTTTCTAGCCAATCCTCCTCCATGCAAACACCAATCAACTGACTTTTATTACAATTGATCTTTAAACCCAAAACAAGTTCGAATGATCTAAAAATACCTTTCATTGCCCAGATATTTTCCTCAGTAGCTTTACCAAATAGAATTGTATCATCTGCATATGGTAGATGTGTTACTTTGAAGCCTTTGGATCCCACCTCCATGCCTTCCAACAATCCTTTCTTGCTTGCCGTTGAAATCAGCCCATTTAAGCCTTTTGCAATAATTAGGAATAAGAATGTCGACAAAAGGTCTCCTTGCGCCTAAACCCTCTTGAGACTATAAATTGTCTTGTTGGGCTACTATTGACCAAGGTTGACACTAGGCTTGTTCTTAAGCATTCCCTAATCCAATTCCTCCAAGTATCACAGAATCCCATCCTCTTCATCATGCAGTCAAGAAAGTTCCAGCTTACCTTGTCATAAGCTTTCTCAAAATCAATCTTCAGCATAAACGACTTTTTCTTCTTCATTTTTAATTCATCTGCCACCTCATTTGCGATCACAAACTCATCCATCAATTGTCTTCCACTTATGAACGCCATCTATTGTTTCCCAACAGCCCCCTCAATTACCTTCTTGAGTCGATTAACTAATAGTTTTGTTAGGATTTGGTACATAACTCCAATAAGGGATATGGGTCTGTAACCCTCAATCCTCTATGGATTGTCTACTTTTGGGACAAAGACAATGAAAGAGGTGTTTAGCCCTTTCACCAACTTATTGTTTTTATGGAATTCATGTATGAATCCGATCACCTTATCCTTTATAGTTTCTCACTCACTCTTGACAAATCTAAAATTGAAGCCACCAGGTCCTAGTGCTTTCGAGCAATCACAATCCCATACTGCTGTCTTTATCTCCATTTCACTAAAGGGCATTGTCTTCCATGGAAATTTGATTAAAGTGCATGCCTTCTAACTTGGCCTTTCCCACCACTCTTCAGTGAACATGTTCTCAAAGAATGAGACAATCTCCTCTTTCATTATTCTAGTTTCCACTATTTAGGCCCCTTTTATTTGAATTTTATTCATTTCATTTCTCTTCCATCTACTCTTCACACAATTATGGAAGAATTTCGTGTTGGCATCCCCATTGACCAACCATGCTTTCCTTGATTTTTGTTGCAACATGCTTTCCTTGTACCTTATACCATCCCATAGCTATGAAAGCCTCCTTTATTCTCTTAATTTCCTCCTCTGAAAGTTGCCCATTTTCCTAGTTCATATATGTCTGAGCAATTACTACTGTAGCATTGTTTATTTTTTTGTCAACTTCAGGGATAGAGTTTCTACTCCAGCTCCTTAATGCTTCCTTGGTCCTTTTCAATTCTTCTTTAAGCCAAAATCTTGCCCAGCCTTGAATATTTGTGTCACACCACACATCTTTTATCATCTCTCTGCACCCTTCATGCTCGAGCCATACATCAAAGATTCTAAAAAGCTTAGGCCCCCAGTCAATTTGTTGATGTTTAGGGAAAATTGGGCAATGGTCAGAAACTGATCTGCATAATCCCCACTGACTCGCCTTACCCACTTAGATAACCATCCATCAGATAATAGAACTCTATCAATCATACTCATGAATTTCTTGCTAAACTGGTACCAAGTGAATTTCCTACCTATTAGTGGTATATCATTTAATTTCATTTCTCAAATAAAGCTATTAAACTCTCTGATTTCAATCGTCAAGCCTTTGCTCCCTACTTTTTCCTCCACTTTTCTAACAGTATTAAAATTCCCCCACCAAACACCAGTTACCACTTTTCCCTGCTATCAAATTTTTTAGTTCCTCCCATAGGGCTCTTTTCCCAAGTAATTGGCATAGGGAGTACGCGTTGACAATGTTCACTGGGACTTCCTCAAAACCCCACACCCCTTCAATACCAATAAAATTTTCTCCCTCTATAATATGGGTTTTTCTAAGAATTTTAGAATTCCATACTCACAACAAACCTCCAGACATTCCCGTAGAATCCTTAGCAACCCAGTCAAACTCTTCTGATCCCCACTTTGAATTGCAAATTTTCTTATTTGTCACCCCCATTTTTGTTTCTTGAATAGCTACAAAATCCACTTCTTTTTTCTTCACTAGGTCTCTAATATGCCTTTTCTTCCCAACACCTCCCAACCTTCTAATATTATAAGACAAATTATTCATTGAGTTGCTTTACTAACCTTCTGTATCGTGCATGCTCCCTTTGAGATCTTCGATTCCTTAGCTTTTTTATCTCTGACCTCTATCTCCTTGAGATTATTGATGACCCCTTCCTCGTCCTCTGCAACCATGCTTAAATTTTTTGTAAAATTCCATAGATCCCCTGCAATTTTATGGCTAGGATGCTCCTTCAATAATCTATTGCAATTTTCTATCCTACTATTGCCCACTGAACCTCCCACCACCGAGTTGCTCATGCTTGGCAAAAACTCTGGGATCCCTTTTTCTTTTTGCTTGTCTTGGCTTGGGTTTTCCTCTTCCCTTCTTCTTCTGGTTCATCAATCCTAGGAGTGTTGCAGAAACTCAGTGATGCTGAGGATTATCAGTGAAACTCAATCTGCTTTCTTGAGAGGACGTCAATTAGTTGATGGAGTATTAGTGTTGAATGAGGTTGTGGAGGAAGTTAAGAGAAGGAAGCAGTCGGCTTTTGTTTTCACGGCTGATTTCGCGAAGGCATATGATTGTGTGGATTGGTCATTTTTGGAATGGATGATGGATCGCTTGGGTTTTGGAATCAAATGGAGAGGTTGGATTATGGAATGCTTGTCGACTTCTAAGATTTCAATTCTAGTTAATGGAAGCCCGACGGAGGAGTTCAAGGTTGGAAAGGGATTACGACAAGGGGACCCTTTATCCCCATTCTTATTCTTGATGATTGGAGAGGGATTAAATGGATTGGTTCAAAAAGCAATGTCGGAGGGTATGTTTCGAGGTATAGAGATTGGCAGGAAAGGGTTAGCAGTTTCTCTACTTCAATTCGCAGATGACACAGTCATTATGGGAAAGGCTGACATAGAGCATATAATCATGGTTAAAACAATTCTGCGAGGGTTTGAACTGATGTCTGGTCTACAAATTAATTTCAGCAAGAGCAACATTTATGGATATAATGTTCCAACGAGATGGCTTGAAGGATCAGCAAGTCTGTTGCGATGTGGAGTCGGAAAATCAACTTTTATTTATCTGGGAATGCCTGTTGATGGAAATCCAGGGAATAGGAAACTATGGGAACCGGTGATAAAAAAATTTCGTGCTAAACTTGCTGTCTGGAAAGCTGCTTCGCTGTCCTTCGGTGGCCGCCTCAATTTGTACTTTCTGCTCTACCCATTTTTTATATGTCATTATTTTTATTGCCAAATTTTGTGGTAACTGAGTTAATTCGCATTCAAAGAACTTTTTTATGGGGAGGGGGGGAGTTAAAAAAGAAGATTTCATGGGTGAAATGGGAACATGTATGTCGCAGTAGGGTAAAAGGGGGCTTGGGGGTGCAGGATTTGCGTAGGAAAAATTGGGCACTACTGGGGAAATGGTGGCATAGATTTGGGGATGGGGTAGAGAGCGTGTGGAAAAGGGTACTAACAGAAAAATATTACGAGGGCAAATGGAAGGAGGTGGATATTAAGGCTATTGGGAATTGGAGAGTATCTAAGCTTTGGAGAGATATTATTA